AAAGCAACAATTCATGTCTTATAAACAGACCAACGTTCCTCCCTGTAATTCCAATATCACCAGTTTTTTTATATGCAGAAGTTCCTTCCCTGACTCTCGGTCCTGAAACCCCGGCCTTTGCATTTTTGTTAAATACTTTCTAAACAAAAAACCTTTTTCCCACTGGTAGAATCTGAAAATCTAGTTGAAAAAAAGGTGATATTTATTCATTTAGTTTTGAATCTTATATTATGTTTCCATCACGTCAGCTGAGCATTTGAGAGCATTTTGATTTTGATGTTTTGCCACAGCCCAAGTCACTCCCTACCGCCTGAGGACTTGAAGGTCAGACACATTCAGCGGAGGTTCTTTGGCCTTACAAACAGAGGTTGCACCTGACAAATGCAGATAGAAGTAGCCACAACACATTTCTGCTTGGAAGGAATTAACAACATTCACCTAACTTCTCTCATATCTCGCACTGGCACACACACATTTTCAAAAACAGCTTAAAGCTGTTCTTAGCTAATTTGTCTGGCAATAACATGCGTCCTTATAAAAAGCGTCTGTGAGGTGTCATTGTGGGACACAAAATGTGCAGCTCTAATTCCCACAGAGGGAGTGAGCCAGTACAGCCTTCCTAATCTGACGGAGAATGTGTAATCGGTTAATAACCTCAGCAATTCTATCATTAATGTTGAGACCCAGAGCTGACTAGACTGATGCAGGAGAGCAGAGGGGAATGCATTGTGCAACAATGATGGCACTGTCTGTATGAAACTTTGGCTCGTAGTGGTTAAGGCCTAATAATCCACACACACACACATGCACGCAGAGCATAACTAAAGTTTTCTGTGAGCTCTTTTGGGAAATCTATAAATTACAGCCTGAGCTGTGAGCCAACGCTGTGGCCTTTCTGACACACTCACAGAAACCCAACAGCAAACAAAGGACGGCGTGTTCTGAGCTGACCGTCGTGTTTGCAGTCAAATTAACAAACCCTAAACCACACTTTTGTTTTTTTTCTTCCCTCTGTGGCAAATTGAATTCGGAGCCTGCAGCCTTGTGACAGTCATTTCAGCTGTATCATTTCTTCCTCCTCATTGTCGTCTCTCTCAGGAGTCACTTGTTCCTTGTTTCGGCTGCCATTAGAAACTTAACGACTGTGGCTAACCTAGCTCGCTCCTGCTTCATGGTTATTGCTCCAAAGCTGCCGTGCCATTTACAAATACTGTTAATTGGCTTTTTGAATGTTTATTTCCTTGATGTTGTTTGGACTCATTACATTACACTCAGACATTCACCAGGGAAGCTCCGCTGTATTGTTGCTTCAAGTGAACAGACGAGAAGAGCTTCTGGATCTCGTTCACGGACACTTGTTTGACACGTTGATTTTTGGCTGTTGTTGGTTTTTGGTGTGTGATCACCGAGACTAAAGCATTCCTGAATTTAGATGATTTAATTTAAATATTAACTAAAGTTTAATTGCGATCACACATTGTTACATAAATCAAAGCCAACCAAACATTTTTTTTAATATTATAGTAATGCAAAAGTGTGTGCTTGTTTTTAAAAAGGTTTGTTTTTGTATTTGAGCTGCATGGCCAAGTATGCATTTGTAACTGTACCTCTTACATTTCCATATTCACATCCTTAAACAATCTTGCATTTCCAGGACAGTAAAGTCTTAACGAAGAGTAAAATAACTTAAAGTAGGCTGAAGGCTAAAGGGCTAAAGGAAGCTAATGCTGCTAGTTTGTTATTCCTTGGGTTGTAACAGAGGATGTGCATCACTTGAGTTTCATTTTTAACAACTAGTGGGTGAATTTTCCATCAGTAAACATCTTCACCTTTATCTCCAACCACTTTCAAATTAGAACAAAAGTAAAGGCCGTCGAAACTTAAAAGTAAAATGTTTTGCCTTATCTGTCTGAAGAAACCCAGCATACCTTGGTTGAATGACTAGTTTTTCGTTTTGTTAAAGATTTCTATGCTAGTAAATTCAATTGATGTTAAGAGTATAATTTTATCACTAAAGATTTCTTTTACATTATTTGCTATCTATTTATTTTTGATAATATAACAAATACAGCTTGGACAAGCCGTCACACCGTGCGAGCATCAATCTAATTACCACTTTGCCTTTTATGAATCATTTCAAGCAGTGTTTCTGAGGAGTTTAGATATCATTTTCGACCTAACGATGTGTGCGGACAGGTGTAGTTGATCCTTCCTACAGTTTATTCCTGGACGCTTTGATTCCATTATCAGTTAAAAAAAGTGTGACTGGTCCAGCAGGCAGGTTCCTGCACTGTTCTGACATCTGGTGCCCTCTCTGTGCCAGGATGCCCTCAGTCGCACTCACAAGTGTGTTTTTGGCACTGCACCTGTATCTTCTCTTCATTACACCTACACACACACGCACACTCACACACACACACACACAAAAGGCCTTTGTGGCAAAATGCATGCAGGTTGTTACAAAAACAAGGCTAACCCACAAATGATATTTGCCACTTCATGCATTTGGAATTGAACATATGTATCCACACTCTACAAATCACACGTAAAACGCGTGCAGGTTACAGCCGTGTGCAACACACACACACACACACACGCAGACACCTAACCCTCGCACCAGTGCAAGAACATATGTCACTCCTAACTCCTCTGAGAATCACTGTAATTAATCAGACCCCGAGATGCAGGTGGAATTTACCAAACACAGATATGCACAAACACACACACACACACACATGTTCACGCAGAGCAGGCAGCAGAACGCAGC